AATAACCAAAATTTATCGGACTCAAACAGAGTTTGAAATAATGATTAGTTTTTTCAATTCATTTATTTGAAAATCAATTACCATTAGTTAATGTAAATTGAAATTTTCAATTCATTAAATTGAATTTTCAATTACCATTTACATTCAAATTGAGAAATGAATTGAAATTCATTTCAATTGCGTGAAGTTGCAGAGATTCTAGTTGGCTCCCATATCACTACTCTCGATTGTTTTCAATTTTTTACCGTCAATTCATTTATAATAACATTTTGAATGTAAATTAAAATGTATATATATTTAAAATTTAATATTAATATACAACTTAAAAAAATTAAAATTTGAAACTGTTTTCATTGCTGCGATTTCTTTTAAACTTATTGACACAGCAACCGTTATTGTTGAATGTGCGCATTCAAATATTAACCTCACTTTTGACATTAGCTATGCACAAATGCCGCATAAGGCATCAATCTCTGCAACTTCACGCAATTGAAATAAATTTCAATTCATTTATCAATTTGAATGTAAATGGTAATTGAAAATTCAATTCAATGAATTGAAAAAAATAAATTGAAAATTTCAATTTACATTAACTAATGGTAATTATAATTGAATGAATTGGCATTGAAAAATTTGAAACACTGGACTCAAATTCGTTTGAAAAAAAATTAAATAAATGAAGCGAACTCGTGTCCGGGACTTTGAGTGCATTTTAAAACGAAATTAAGTCCGGTCGAAACCGAATCACGGTCCCGGACTATAATTCGGTTTTTTCACGAAAATCTGGACTCAAATTCGCCGGACTCAAATTCGCCGGACTGAAGTTCGTGATGCCTTCATTTTCGTGTAGCCTGTCACAACATGATAGTGTCACATGCTTTGAACTGAACAAAGTGAACGTTTAACGTTGGAGGGAATTTCAAAAGAAAGCGAAGCCTTTCACATCATTGCACTGGTTTGTTCGTTCAAAATTAATAAGCAATGATTTAAGACATATAAATAATTCGAAAGATCGTTTAATTAGTCATTTGTGAGTTTTATCGATTTACAAATGTCATGAATGTATGAAATGGATTTAGTTTTGATATGAATCCTGGTAACAACAGGGGACAATTCAGAGGTCACCCAAGGGGCCGTGGCTGCTATTTTGCGAATATTTAGCGAATATTCGCAGTGAATATACGCAAAATATTCACAATATTCACAGTGTTTGATTGAGATAAAAAACCTTAGGTTTTGATGTTTGTTTTTTAGTGTTTTAATTCCAACGATATCGTTCACCACTTTGTTCGAAATTTCCTCCAAATCAAAATCAATTTCGGATAGACTGATCAATGTATCATTGGTGCCACGACAAAATGTTTTTAATTAGCAATCGAATACGTGCCGATCTAATAACATAGCACGACATTTTATAACATCATTAGCTGCATAATGATGCCCATTGATCAATTTTGTTGCAATAATATCCAATTTTGACACTTTATCTCTTAAAACGGATATTTTATGTTTCCTTTCGGCTATGTTAAGCAAAAAAGCAGGTTAACATGAAAAAGATGTTTTGTTTAGATGCTCAAAATGAAAATAAAAATAGGTTCAAAAGGCTCACCTCTTCCCTAGGGGGAGATTGCAAAACAACTTCGCAAAAGAATATAAACAAATATATACGAATATGCCACCAATATATTCCAATATAGTTAACAAAATACTCTAGCTATTAGAGTATTACTCTAGTTACTTAAACGACTCATTGTAAAAATATTATTGAAAAGAAAATGTTTTAATGAAAAACCGAAAAAATGGTCTTTTCTTGATTTGTATAATTTAAAAAAATGTTTTATATATATTTTTACAATTTGTACTCTAGCGTATTTTGTATAATATATTGGAATATATTGGTGGCATATTTGAAAAAAGTTGTTTCATATTCGTATACGAATATAAACCAATGTGTCGCAAATATTTGTCAATAAATTGCGACTATATACACGCAATATCCCCCTAGCCTCTTCCCAAATTCTCATTGGAAACTATGGTTGATAAAACCACATCTTTTTCTGCTATCCATGTAATTGTTCTCTCCACTTCTCGGTTGAAGTGTTCAATTTGTGAATTTTCCACGTGTTCATGATGATTGTCTATGGCATCAAACCATATGACGGCCTAAGAAGAAAACAATAACATACAGAATATTCTGCAAAAAGACGAATACAAATTTATGTGAGCAAAAACCAAATATACAAACAGACAGCGCAAAGGTAAAACAGCCTACTTACATAAGAAACACATGAAAAGAACTATATAAAATCGAAGTAATTATCCTGCCAGACCTTTATTAGAAGCTCTTCTTCGGAAGTTTTTCTCTAAAATAAATATGTTTTCAAAGTCTCAATATTTGTTTATTTTTTGTAAGATTTTGAGATTTGCCAACGTTCATTCTAACTAACTCATGATTTGATACCGTTTAAATTGTTTTCCTCCTTTCTTTTATGAATTACTAAGGTCACATTGAAGAATATATAGCTATGGTACTGTTGGCTAGGAACGTTCGTTCGTTCAAAGGCAAGTAGACAATGGGAGGAAATGACAGCAAATTTCAAAATTGGCGCGCTGTTTAGTTTCGATTTGAGTTGTTAAATTACATTGACGTCCCCTCTGAAAGGATCGAGTACTATCTGTCAAAATATTTCCCCCTTTGCCAAGCGAAAATAACTCGATATACGGCGCTGATGTAAATGTCACTCTGTCATTTCACAATAATACATTTTTGGCTTGACAATATATAAGCTTTTCATTTAAAATGCAAACACATGCATAAATATTGAATCGTTGAAAAAAAACATGTCATAAAATATTTTTCTAACATTTTTCAAAAAAAAAGTTTCATCGATTAAATAAGAATCCAATGTAAATAGTAATAACAATGCGACACCTACCGTAGAAATGCAAAAAGAAACTTAGTTGGTCTCCATTGTAGCATTTTGGTCCGCCATGACAGCATCTTCGTTTTACTTGACCAATCACAGAGAAGCATAACGAAGATGTTGTCATGGCGGACCAAAATGCTACATTCCCAAATAAATTTCCTTTTGCATTTTTACGGTAGGTGTCGCATTGGTATTACTTTTTACATTGGATTTTTGTTCAATCTGTAATGAAATTATTGTTATTTTTAAACAAATAAATTTAAAATATAGAGACTTTTTATGAAAAACGTAAGAAGAATATTTTATGATATGTTTCTTTTTTTTACTCGACCATTCAAAAATTATGCATGTTGAATGAAGAGCTTATATATTGTCAAGCCAAAAAATGCATTATTGTGGAATGACATAGAGTGACATTTACATCAGCGCCGTATATCGGATTAATTTCGCTTAGCAATGGGGGAAACGTCGTACTCGGTCCTTTAGGGCGCCATCGTCGGCTCAAAGAGACTTGAAGTCTTCACATCCTCTCATTGCAAGTAGGCAATAGAAATAACATTTTTGTTCGCTCATTCGTTCGTAGATTTTGAAAAATAAAAATTTCAAAAGTGTGTAGTTAATATTGAAAGCCTGTGTGATTTTACAAATGACGTTTCACTAAATGAAATGCAACATTCACCGCCATTTTGCGTATTTACGATAATCACAATAACCACGATAAGCTCGAAAATTCATGAATATTCACAGTAAGTCAAGTTATTATACACTACACTGTCATAAACTTGACAGAAAAATTCGCAACCCTGGTTTGGAATTAGTAATTTTTCGACAAAATAGGTAAAATGTCCAACCCTGGTAACGTACTGTTGCCAACTTATCTGTCAAATTTTTTACAGTGTAGTCAAAATGTGTCAATATTCCGATAAAAAATACTTCCGAGCCCCTAGGCTTCAGCTATATTTCTAAAAAAACGTCTGCCTCAGAAAAGTATACCTGAAAAACTTGTACTTTTAAAAACGAAATAATAAATATGTTTGAGCTATACAATGTGCATACCTCTTTGATAACGTTTGATTCTAAATTAATCAAAAAATAGTTTCATTTATTATTATTATAAAATTCATATGAATATGACTCATTTAATGATAGCGCAACCGACATTATAAGATGTAATCTGATTTCTTCACTTTTGAGAATTCCTAAAGTATCCGCAAAACATAGCTCTTCATAGGGTTTTGTTTCAATGAACTGTTTATTGTAACAGAATCGAACAGATTGCTTTGTCTTCTGAGTGCAAAACAGAAACTTGAATATAATTCAAAAAAGCATAGATTGCAAATCTTGAAGTAGCTCAATACTATTAATTTTGAAAATATAAATAACTCTTTTCGTTGTGATGAGTTCCAAACTGTTCGATATATTTTTGTTTACATTAAATCTTATCTCTTTGTTTATATTTTACATGGGATTTCAGGTTCAGAACTGAATTTGCACATGCGTATTGAACCATTTTTTTATTGAATTTGTAGCTAGAATTTGGCAACACTGATAAATCGAAAATAAAAGAAAATTATAATAAATTTTCGAAAAAATTCAGTTAATGAAATAATTGTACTGAGAAACATCGAGTATGGTAGTGGTATAGTAAAAGAACAATCATTTTTTTTTTCAAATGATTGTACTTCATAAAAATATTTCATGCTCAATAAAAACGAAAGTACCACTTCAAAACTGTATATGTTTATCTCATTCTAACGACATCTATTGGTAATAAGGTATGAAGCTTATTTGGGGTTGTGCTTGCAAGGCATGCTTTTGCTCTACTTTTTAAGGAATCAACACTCAGTTCCTATATGATGATATGGCAATACACGATTCTCGTCAATTTTTGGGTGATTGGAATTCGTTACAAAATATGCAATTCATACTTATTTGTTGACTGGGCGGGCGGATTATAACAATTCCTAAATAATAAACTTCCATTCTTTTCACGTAATTTTAAATTTCAGCAAATAATATAAACTCGAAATTGTGCTCAACGTATTTTTATTTCATATTGTTGCAGTTGTAAATGAATAAATAAATAAACCTCAATCCGTTTTAAATCTAAATCATTTTTTTCTCTAGTATTTCATCAAACTTTCAACCGGAAAACATCGTCTAATTCCACAACATTTTTCGCGATCGATGAACAACGCATTAACTTTCCTCTTCAAATCGGCCTCAAGATTTGATTTTATTTTGAGAAGTTGTTGATGTTGTGACTCAGCCTCTTGTAATTTTCGATGCAGCACCGTGACGGAATCCTGAATTTCTCCAATTTCATGAACCAATGAAACGTGGGCGAAATCTCTGTAACACATATTTATCAGTTATGTATTGAATAGTCTTTAGCCAACGAATCAACCGTAGTAATATCAAATAAGGAAACAAAGTACTTACTTGCATTGTTCAATTCCCGCTCGATGACCGCGAGCCTCTAGTCGTGTTTGTGCAACACGCAATGGATTTGATTTATCCTGAATCGATTTTCGTATTAAATCGATGTTACGCTCAATATCAAATATTTCCTGTTGCGTTTTATGCAAATGGAGTTGAATTGCATTCTTTGCCTCACACATGTCCGAAGCGCGTTTATTCAATGCATTATTGCTGTCGTTCCAGGCACTCCAAACAGCGCTATTGATACTATTGATCAATGCTTCAGCTGAACTTCTTAGCTGTGCCGACGAGGCACGAACCGATTGCGATCTGGTAAATAAGCAAAAAGACGTTTAAATTCTTTCAAATTATTCAAATGAAGCGTGAAAAGAGTTTACTTATTAATTCGAACACTACTGGCTTGTGTCCACATTTCAATAGTGCTTACAGTCGGATCGTACTTTTCAATGCCACTATAATAATTAATACCACGACTATAATTGTTCAATTTATGGCATATGGTATCGATACCGAGTGTATTCTCTTTATAAATGATATCCTCTTCCAGCGAATGTTGTGTACTACGCAATTCCGATAGTAATTTATTAATCTATAAAATGAATGTACTCATAAGAAGGAGGCAACAAATTTTTCATCTCTTCTTACCTGTTCCAAACATAGTTTTAATTTTTCCTGAGATGCTCTCAAATTTTGTACTTCGTTCAGTAGCGTTTTTTCGACAATATCATGTACTTTTTCGACTCCCTGTCGATTCTCTCGAAAATATAAGCACTCTTCAGCCACTTTCAGTGGAGGATCTAGATCTTCTAGTGCTTTGACCGTTCGCCGTTTCATATCGGCCAACAGTGAATACTCGGCTATGACTTTTTCCAATTCAATGCTTAGTTCATTGCGCCAAAATGTGAGATCAGTTAATCGTTCGCCCAACCGTCGTCCCGCTTCGCGTTGACCTTGTACAGTCTTTTCTGCTGTTTGTCGTATTAAACGAACCGCATCGTTACGAAGTCTTTCAGATTGTTGTCGATTAACATCGGAATCCGTGTACAGTTTCATACAAGATTTATGCCATTCGGCCGGTGTGTATCGTGTGTACAGGGCCGAGCGAGCCGCATGCTCTGGATTTCGTTCGAAACCATTTACGAGATTCGGAAATTGTAATGGCTCCCGCGAGAGATCTAAAAATGTTAAACATCAATTAGAATATACACCATAACATGCATAGAAAAGCTCAATCATTTAACCGGTTGGTGCAAAATTCGTGTCCAACACTTGACTCGTTGTCGGTGCTTCGCCCAAAGCATTTGACTCTGGCCATGGATGATGATGCGGCACCTGAACAATAATGCCATTAGTAAATCGATTCAGAAAGATGAACAGTTTCAAACCTGATAGAGCATTCCCGATCGTATAGCATTTATTGGATCTACATTTGTTTCTGATGCTGTTGCCGCATATTGCTTTATCCATGGCTGCAAAAATGTTAAAATAAATCAAACGATTTTTTTTGACCTTATTTCCATCAAACACAAATCAAGAGTTTCTACTTATATCTTACACACGCGTACAACAAAAAGATTGAATAGAAAAAGTTATTAAAAAAAATAAACAAATCAATAACAGATGAAATACATTATTATTTTCCCATGAAACTTGCAATTGTGAAATGAAACAAAAAAAAATTCGCTCGATATCATTTAAAAATGCATTGCATTTTAAACAATTAATCGTACTGTATGTACTAAAATTGGAACAATCGCCATTAAAATAGTCAGTCGAGAATTTATTTTGAACTAAACCAGTCCATTTTCATCGTCAATTCAAGAGAAGAAAAACATTACCATAAATCGTGTGAAAAATGAAAGTACTCGGTTACTTTATATTGTGTGTTTTATTTGTTGGAAGGAGTGTTTCATCGACAAGAGTCAGTGCAAAAAGTAAGAAAAATTGTTGTTTTCACCATTCAAATTTGAAAGAAAATCGGTAACATTTTAACCCTTTTCACAGTGTGTATGGACTATGGTCGGTCGCCACATTCTCGCCAATGCCATCATAAATATTCACCATTGTTGGGTTATATTCCAGCTGGCGAACGCGAATTTCCCCATACCGTAAATATTTTGTGGAAAAAAAGTGCCAAAAATTTGATTCCATTTTGAATGAAAAATTCGTTAATTTTCAGGCACTGTTGGGTGTTGAGAAAAATACCACTCATCATTGGCGCATTGAATGGTTTTGTACTGGTGTTTTGATTTCACATGATTACGTACTTGGCCTTGCTGAATGTGGTTTTTCCTTTCACGTGTAAGCCAAATGTTCAATTATTCATTGATAAACGTTGATTTTCTTCGCTGTAGTCTGAATATGAAAAATTCGCTTCTTTTTTTCGAATTTTCAGACATGAGTTGACGCATGTTCGTTTGGGTGATTTTAACTATGGATCGAATAAAGAGGCGCACAAACCACTAAATGTAAAAGTATCCGAAGTGATTGTGCATCCAAAGTACATGAAAAAATCGTTGTATAATAATTTGGCATTGATTCACTTGGATCAGTCGTTGGAGTTTACATTGAACATTCGTCCAGCTTGTTTGCCCCAAATGTTTGATGTTGCTGGGGAAACTGTATCGATGACTGGTTGGCCGTTTAAACTGTACAGTGTACCAAAATCGATGCGAAACAAACAAGATATGACGCTGCGCAAATACAATATGAAACCAATTGATTTTGAAGAATGCCAGAAATTATTTGCGCCGCACGCCATCAAGGGAATGTCACAAAGTATTTCCGATACGCAAATGTGTGCGTCAATTATTATGGAAGACGAGCAAAAATTCTTTAAAATTCCGCGACCACTTGAGGTATAAATGAAATTATGATAATGATGAGATTAAATATAAATTGAATTTTCAATTATTTTTTTCAATAGGTGCTGGATGGTGCTCCATTGCAGGAAATTCAGAATAATGAACATTGCATGTACACCGTACATGGATTGTCAACGTTTAAACCAACATTTGGGTTATTGAAAATGCCATTGGTATTTATTCGCATTTATCCTTATTTATCCTGGATCGAGCAGACTGTTTGGCCTGAACATTTAACATTATAAATTTTATTGTTGCAATTAATATTTAAAACTTTTTCCATTCGCTCTGAGTTGAGAATGTGAAACTTCACTATAGATTTTATGATAGATGTGTTCAATAAAATATTCAAATAACACAAAACTTTTCAATTTATTTAAATATAAAGCAAATTGTGAAGAATTACATAAGATTCCAAAAATTGTCGATAGTCAGTACGTGTTTTGTAGATGTCACCGTAAATGTTCCATTTGTCGACAAGGTTCTCTTTGACTAAGCGCTGGTCGAAAGTTCGATTTTCCAAAAATGATGACGAATTCCATTTCATTTTCTCTAAGAAATATTCACTTTTGAACTTATCACAAAGATTTTAGTTCTTTTTTTTAAGCACCGAAACACGTTTGAAACGAAAAGCAGATGACACAGAAATGAAAATGTTCATGCGAATGTATTATTTTTTATGCAAAGTATGAAAAACAGCTACATGTTTCATGTTTATTTATTAGATACACAAGAATGTGACAGGGATACGAATTCATGCGCGAAATTATTTATCGAACAAACAATGTTTGTGATTATAGCGAAAATGCGACGGTGATTCTTTCCTTAAATCTAAATAGAGGTTGGAAAATAGGTTAATGTTTTTTTGGAATGTAGGAATAATACATTCTGTGTTATGTCTGTACGATTCATGTTAAAAGTTTGGGCCATCTTTGTGATTTTAACATGCACAATATAAGTTGTAGTATAGTATAACAGGTAGGAAACAGTTTTGTACGGGAAATTCCATCACATTTTATATCTACTTGTTGCATAACGTGTGTTTTATCAATAAAAATGAAAGGGGTTTAAATGAATGTAAAAATGAACTTTATAAAATGACGGCCTAAGAAGAAAACAATAACATACAGAATATTCTGCAAAAAGACGAATACAAATTTATGTGAGCAAAAACCAAATATACAAACAGACAGCGCAAAGGTCAAATAGAATTTATTAAAATGAAGCTAGAAATAAGTTATTTGCAGCAATGAATAATTATTATTGATGTGGATATCGTTTATTTTACTGAATTTTGATTAAGTATTGAGCATTTCAGGGATTTTCCGGTCAGAAAAGACCAGATTTCGAATCGCTTAGTCATTAATTCTTTTATGAAGTCAACATTTCCCCCCAGCAGAACGTCGACATATTCACTTCCAACGTGTATAAGCCTATTGTATTGTCAATTGCCGAAATTAGTTTCGAATCATTCACTTAATTGGAATATATTGACGAATGGTCATTGGTTTTATCGGACAATACATGAACCAACAGGAAATTTCTCCTCTCATTCCACTCTCTTCAAATTGAGTGTCTTTTCATTAGCTAATCACTATAGTCTGTATTTATGATGACTATTATTATGATATGCGTGTGTGTGTGTGTGTGTTTCGGTTCTGCCAAACAAATCATCAGCCGATATGAATGGGAAATCAGATGTGAAACACACATTTACCCTAATATTACACCTACAACAAATGAGCGAACATATTGCATTTTGGATTGGCATTTTCATTTTCACTTTTTTTTTCATTGTTACGCATTGACACGCAAAGTGGCAATCAAGATCACAAATGCCTACTTATTTTCCGTTAGAAGTGTTCTCTCCTTCTCTCCCTCACACAATATATTTTCAACTCACAAAAGCACAAGTAAATTAAACACGTTTGTTGTTTTTCGAAAATGTTCACACACAAAAGCAATCCCTTTGTGAGACAAACACACACACACCATTTTCCATATTTGAAGATATAATAATAATTGCAATATTATATGGTTGATTCAATCCAAAGATATGTATCGCACAAAAACCGAGAAACACAATAAAAAGTATTCAATCAAAAAACAATCAATTAATTAAATACTATCATTACGGTTCAACAAACGTGCCATGTGAATTAAAAGGAGGTGGTAGTGGCGGTCGTGTGGTATGAGTAGGCGATTATAAAGAAAAATGTCCATACTTACGATTAGAATGTTGGGAGTTTGATGAAGTGTTTTAAAACTCTTTCCACGTCCGAATGGCACTAGATAAGCTGCCATTATGATACTGTGCCGTACTACACTGACTCGGTAACAGTATTATAGCTTGAAACAACAACCATCAAATGCAAACAATTATAATAGGATAAGAGTACTACTTATAAAAGGATTATTCTACTTTTGCCATTTTATCTGGTGTTATTTGGGCCCTGGATACACAGTGTATTGCGCCCATTCAACGAATTTATCGAACAAACATTGACGTTGCAAAAAATATCTATATCTGAAATGGAAAAGAGTAATCGGTTCGAAATGGCAAAAAAAACGAACATCTTATTTTTCAATATGATTTTATTTTACCTTTTTTCAAAAAAAAACTTTCTGATTATTTTTTTTTTTTTACAAAAAAAGAGAGACAAAAAGAATTTGTTCAGTAGTTTAAAAACCAAAAAAATAATTGATCGATTTTCCATGTTACATATACAATTTTTGAATTAATATAATCAAAATCGAGTTTTCAACGGATCTTTGCTTTCTTTTGGATATCGACAACGATTCAAAGCGTAAAGCATTAATCATTTATTTTATTAATTGAAACTTTTTCCGATACTTTTATTGGCCTATTTCTTTGAAATTTTATTTATATGGAAGATGTTTTCATTCTCATTGCGTTCAATGATATATATAGCAAATATCACGTCATCATAACTTCTTTCCACTTTTTCAATACTTCCCCAATCTCTATCTCTCTCTACACAATATGATGAAATCAGAGAAAGATACACATTGGCGATATTTATCATTGACACAGTTTCCTTTTGTTTAAATAAATTAATATTTTAGTATTAAATATGTTGGTTGAATTCGGTAGTTATTGTTTTTTTTTTCTGTTTGAATATACACTTAAACAAAAAGCAAACACATAGCACGTTCAAAGTGAAATACAAAAAAAAATTGAAGTATTCGAAATACCCAAACATATGGACTCAAAAAAATAACTGCAAGTGTTGTCAAAGCCAGATATAATTGTAATATAATTTCATTTTCGGGTCGTTGAGTATTCGAAATGTCCAACATTTCATTGTTCTCTGGCATCAGCAAATGTGATTCATTGATCATTTTAACTGCCAAAATGTGCCTTGGACTATTGAATAAATCAAAATTTCTTGTTTGCCTTTATCGCAAAAGTCGTACTTGGTCTACATTTAAATTGACAAAAAAATTGAAAGTTAATAAATCCGAAAAAATTGGAAGGAAAAAAAATCAAATTTACGAAAAAAATCCGTTTCGATGATTATCAACATTTATTACATTTAATATTAAATATTATGTTGTTTGAAATGTATGTTCATTTTTAGGCATGATTTTTCTTTTTTTTTCATATCATTTAAAATATATAATAATTGCGTACTTTTTTACAGTGCACACATTAGCTACTTATCTCACTAAATCCAATTGAATTTACGAAATTGACTTTGAATAAATGTTTTACTGATTTTTCTTTTAGAAATTACGATATGTACAGAATTTTATTTTCAGAAACAAGAAAAAAACGGTTCCCATCGTTTAACTCTTTCCATGCGTTCAATTTTGTGGATTAAACATTTTTTTGTCTAATTCTTTTTTTTCTTCACTAGATCGATATTTAATGCTTGAAATTCATCTACAATTTCACGATATTTTAATATGTATTCATTTCATAAAACTAACTACTAGTACATACAGCATACAATTTAATAACATTTTCTTTCTTTTTTAATTTTTTTAAAAACAATCTTATCAGTTAAGGACTCAAACTTAGAGTTCGTTTTCATTTTTGTTTTAAACAATTGCTTACTTGAAAATGTCATTTATTTTTCTTCTTCAATTTTTTGGTAGATTGTGAAGTACATTTTTTTTTGTAACAATGAAAAGCTCAATGATTCAAACTTTCGTCAGCTGATCAAAAATTTTCTCCAACTGTAGCATTCTTACATTGTTTATTTTCTTTTGTCAACTTTTTGGAGTTAAAATATAAAACGAGAATAAAACAATAAATTAATTAAATAAATGAGAATTGATTTTTCTGGAAACTGAAGTAAAATTGGCAAACTGACACCTAAAAAGACTAAAAGTAACAAGGTTGTCAGTGTAGTTGGTTCACCATTTGAAATACTGACTATACTGAGTACTTTTAACAATTTGGTTTGTCCGTTTGCCCCTTGGAAGCAAATCTTATTTACATTTGTAAATTGTCAAATCCTATTTGAAGTTTATAAAAAAAAGAAAAACTTAAGCGAAAAAGGAATTAGGAATGAATAATGTTTGACAATAACATTTATGGAATTTGTATTACGGATCAACTACATTAAATTTCTCATCTTTTTATTCTTTTTTTTTTTTTAAATAAATAGCAATAATGGATATCAAGAATGTGATTTGGCACGAAAAATGCCCACAAAATTAAAAATGCTGTCTTAACTTCGTTCGGAGATGCTATGGTATGCTCAGTTTTAAATGGAATGAATAAAGTTCATATGTTTGCAAGTAAAATTTGTTAAAACATTTTGGGATGGAATTTCGATGTACAATTTTACATCAGGGGCGTTATGGAGCAAAAATGGCATATATTCCACCAGAATTTATTGCAAAAGGGGAATTTTAATCAAAGTGCCAACTGTTCATTCACATTTTAAATTTGTTTGCTTATGGGGTTTCGATTTTCGTTCACCATTCAGGTAAATTTATAGCCATTCATCATTTAATTATTTTAACTTAACTGCGTGTGTGTTTGAATTCGATTGCGTTATTTAAACGATTGACCCTTATTATTATAAACCATGCAATAAATACTTCAACCTCTATCTTAATAGAACCATGTAGAACTTTTCATATGTGTTTTTTCTTTGTTTTCTTCAATAAACTTAAAATCATGTTTCATAAAATGTCTTTGGTAATATATTTTTGTTGCAGCAGCATCATTAACTCTGATTTTTTTTTCTTTTCATTAAAAACTAAACTAGTGGTAGATCGTAATTGTGTGTATTTTTCATATATAAATTGGTTTTCCCTTCATTCAAATGATGCCATTGATTTTAATTGGGTATTACTGTCCAGTAAAAGCATTTTTTTAAATAATTTCTTTCATAAATTTGCTGCTGTCGTTATCATTAAAATCTACTCGGTTTTAATTCCATTAAAATATTTACACAATTTACTTTTCAAGCATATATATATACTATATGTATAATCAATTGGCAAACGGCTCCCCTTTAAAAAGGTATACAATAATTTAAATGTTAGGTATTTTCTTCTTTACCATCATCATTTTCGGTTTTTATCTTTTCTCATTTCGATTAAACGTTTAAGGCCCCATTTTCATCATTCAACAGAATAAAACAAACGTTAGAAACGTAAAATAAACGTCAATAAACAGACTTACTCAATCGCTTATATATGTTACGTCCTATCGAATCTCGGTAATTTGCAATTAATTCCTACATATTTCAACTAACAAAATGCGTTACTGGATCTTTTGAATCCATTTCGGCATTTTTTCAAAAAAATTATTTACCTTTGCCCGATTTTCAATTTGACATATTTACATAGATCGATTCATAGTCGTTTTGCTTCCGCACTACACACTCACTAGAATTTTCTGTTTCTCAATTTTCTTATATGTATATTCGACGATTTTCTTCATTCGAATGTTCATGTTTATTCCATTTCAATTTTTAAAACGATTGAATAGGTATAATATATACTATTACATTAAAATTTATCAGTCAGATGTACTCAGAGAGATTTGATTTTACTCCAAAAAATGGTTCGATTTATAATGGTGAATCACATGTTGCACTGAGCGAGATGAGTGATTCCGGGAGTATAATACGGCAGAACAATGACACGTAATAATACATGATTATTATCCAAATAATTCTCTGCGATGCAATGATAGTGTTTCACATCATTTTTGTTGTTGTTGTTGCACTTCTTGGAGTTTTTTTTACTCATTATTTTGATTTGGTTTTACAGCTTAATACAGTTTATTTTGTACAGTCGCACGCTCTCTTTGTGTTCGATCGCTTGCATGAAACTACTGGTGTAAGCGACCGAGTGACGGTGGTAAATTCACGCAACCATACACATTTTGCTTTCAATTCAAATCACTATCATTGAAGAATATCGAGGAGTTGGAAAGGGCTTGCTCGCCTTTCAGACGATATTTGTTCTGGCATTGATTGTAAATTGATATGGCAATAAAGGAAGGAAAGGCGCTGCACAATGGGCCTCGCATCGCATGAACATGTATTCAGAAGATGAACAGCTGGCTATTTTCCATCGGCACGTCACATTGAGTGGTTTGCCATTTGCCAGAGAATATGTAGATCATTGTAGGTGTGTATGTATGTAGTGATAAGACTTGATTATGTGTATGGATGAGTGCGAGAACGAGCGACGCATTTGAATCCATGTATGTATTGTGCGGCAATGAGTCTCTCAATTAAATTAAACATGCGTTGCAAGTGCACCTTTTTTCAAATGTCCATTAGCTGGCAATATAAATTGACCCGATGGACTGGATGACGTTGGTAGTGGAGCTTTTATCGATGTTGTACTTGTACTGACAATGCCGGATGTTGTAGCTGTATTACGTGTTGCATTATATGGCGGGGGTGCTGGTGTGGCTGATGGATTTGCTGTACTTGGCGGTGGTAAAGGCGGCAGCGATGCATTCGACGTTCGCAAAAATGGATTAGCATATGTGGCACGATATCGTAAATCTACATTTAAACCATTCTGTAGCAATGGTTGTTGACCTTTTTTGCACAATTTGCAATTCAAAAAAGCACACCAACCAAAAGAAAAAGAGTTTAAGCAGCAACAGCGGCAACAGCAGTGGAAAAGAGAAGAGCAAAAAACTCATTAGAATTGAAAGTCAATGTTCATTTGCATAAAATCCAGATGGATAGAGAGGGGGAGAGAACAATGTACGATCAAATTTCGCCCATTGCTCATTGTTTTTGAAAACACAGAGACGGAAAATCTGAAATTGCATTCAAAATACTCACTTAAAATACTATTTTGTAGTGAATTGAAACTGCCATGCACGTTTGGCAATCCAATATCTTGCCGTGAATCAACCGTTGTCGATCGACTATTCCGAGTCAATGTTGAATTCACACTCGGCACCTGGCCATTTGGATAATATGTGGTATCACTACTCGTATTACTACTACCATTTCGTAATAGTAATGTTGATTGTGATGGTGGACTATAATCGGCTGCATTTGCGACGTAGCCATTGTTATTTTGACCAGTTTTCGATTGACCCGTATCTGTAAAGTCGCCCGAATATCTACGTATTTATGGAACAAATGGAGAACATTGTGTAAAATTCATTTAAATTGCACAAAATTTATAGTGTTATATTACTACAACTGAATACAGCACAGAAATGATGAGATCGAAACATAATATTCACCTGTATTGAGATGCAACGCCTCCAAGTGGCCCAATTACACTGCCAGTTGTGTTGTATGTACTTGTGTCCGGAATGTGCGTCATCAAATTATTACCATCGACCGTTGTGTGTGCGTAGTCATTTCGAATGTCAATTTTTGTCTCGTTTATCAAATTCGATGTCCGTTCGCAACCCTTAAATTCCTTTTTGTTAATATTCTTATCGTTCTAGTATTGAGTTTATCGCATCGCATTGCACAAGAGAAATATTTGATTTGATTTTGTTAAAGTGAATGGGAAAATTGTTCATTTCATTCTCAAAATTTCTCATTTCTTTTTAGGTCTTTGTTTAAGGGAAGTATAATAATAAAAGATCATTTTTTTGAAATACTTACGGTTGGTATTACATCAGCTGGTTTCAGCCGTTTTTTTGTCCGCCGGCAAAATAGTATAAATACAACGAGAATTAAGATGATTATAACAAAGGATACAGAAGCTACGATGATACTTAATACTGGACTTGTTTCTGCAAAAGAAAAAAAACAACATTTACGTTACATTTCCGTATCTTAAGCATTATTTTTAAGTATGAATTGGTGATTTGGTAACAAAAATCTTGTATTCGATTCATGTGGTGTTTATTTATTTACCTTGTCGAAGTAATTCAATTTCCAAAATGTCGTTGCCGTGCTCATTAACAACGGTACAATTATAAGAGCCAAAATGTTTTGATTGGCTTTCTCGTATAATCAATATTGATTTGATGCCTTCTGGCAATGGTTCTTCGATAATTGAATAATCGGGATTGTTATTCGTACTGATTTCATGCCCCATGAATGTCCATGAAACGTGTCTTGCCTATTTTTTTTTTTTTTTTTGGTTTCAGAAAAAAGAAAAACCACATAATGACAAACATATTTGATGGGAGCGTAAAAAAGAGAACAGTGAATAGCAAAAAAATAGAGAAGAGCTTTACCTTGGGCACAGAAAATGCTGTGCATTCGATCCGAGTATTAACGCCAGTGATACCATACTGTCGCCGGGCTGATGTAATTGTAGGTGGACCTTTCAAGTAAACCGATGCCGTTGCCGATATTTCAGGAAAACCAACAACACTCGCTTTGCAAAAATATTTGCCAGCTGTTTCGGTTGAGACGATTATTGTTAAATTTGACGAAGCACCAACGACCTATGTGATTAGAGTAAAACGAAATATGTGATAAAATTACCATACCATTATTCTTATTATTACAGATTATTTATATAAATGACTCTACTCACTTTATCGTTTGGTTCATGAATCCATAGAATATCGGGCAATGGATTGCCAATTACATCACACGTCAAAGAAATCGTTGCTCCATGATCGGCTTCAATCGATTTAGGTCGAGACTTGAACACTGGCCCATCTATTTATACAAAAAAAAAAAAAACAATATATATTCCAATTCAATTTGGCAGTGTTGCGAAAACAACTTGGGCTTAGTGAAAATGAAGATTGACGCTGCAGCTGAAAAGCAAATACTTACAGCTAATATCGAGTGCTTCACTCTCCTCACTTTTTCCGACCGCATTGTGAACTTCACACTTGACCATTCCGTCATGATATTTTCGTGTGATGTTTGGAATTACCTGCAAAATGAACAATTTCAGTTTTAAATCTAAATCTGGCATTTTGAGTGTCATTTCTCTCAAATGAATTGCAGTCGTCTGACCACAGTAAAAAAAAACAGCATCGAAAATTGGTCATTTCATTTAAGCTAATTTCGAAGAAATGAATGTTCTAAATGAGCTTGAAAATGTGACTAATTGAAACGGAAAACGTTCAGAAATAAAGTGCAAGAAGTAGCCAGTGTGCAAGCCATTGAAGCAAATTTAACGTCTTTTGAAGTCATCAGTGCATACACATCGTATTTTATGTGCAGGCATATCAACCACACAGACAGATAGATGGATAGATGTATCTGAAAATGATATTTCATCATGTATGCTACGTATAAAAAAGCCAATCCATTTTCCAACGATCAAAGGTGAAATTAGCAAAGCTACAAAAGTCACTCTTATCTCATCGGTCTGCAAACATTTATGAAAACTTTTTGGCTTTTAATCAAACATTTATATTTTAAGCTGACTCAACATTCATGCCGAACATTATGCACTTTGGCCAAGGCTCATACATTCACTCACACACACAAACGCAAATCACTCTCAACAAAATTCCGAAACCGAATTCAAATTCCAAATTGTGATTCATTCGTACGGTCGTTCTGCTGCTGATATATGTAAACGAGTAACCGAGATTCGAGCTCGAGCATAATACATAGCAATGGCAATGACAACGACAACGAATGAAACGAGTTGAAAAGAGAAATAAAATTTTTAATTTGCATTTCAAATGTAAAGTGCTGGGAGACGGTGCATTTAAATTGAACCTTTGGCACGATCTGTATCTCTCTACACCTATTTGAGGTAAAAATTTGCAAGATATTCTTATTATTCAGGCCATTTGGTTTGCTATTTGCCACTGTTGGCCGATACGATTCTGCTTCGTTGTTCATTTTCGTGATATGTGCGGTTGCATCAGGTAAATGCTTTACGAAAACTTTTCGAAGCGAAATATGCGTCATCATGAGGGACGCTTTGTGTCATCGAAACCGCATCCATGCATTCGAATACATTGTGACTGAATGTGTGTTTGGGTTTTAGTAAACATTTGGATCGTTGATTTTCGGCTGACTTTCTAAATTGCATAGTCATTTACCGTTTATAAGCGTAAGCCATGTTTTCATGGGACAAAGTTATCATCATCATCGTTGCCGTTTCTCTAGCACAATTTTCTTGTTATATGTCGGTATATATACTATAGATATAAAGACAAACTTACCATTTCGGTTGTATAGTCACCGGCAACAAGTTCTTCATTAATGTACCATCGATACGTTACGTTTGGCGGATTGGCATCAGCACGGCACAAAAATCGCACATCACTACCTTCGGGGATGCGGGAACCAGTCAGTGTACTCTCTCCAATGACCGAAATCGACACTTTCGGAGCATATTTAACCTTTTAACAAAATATCAAAAGTAACAATGTTAGAATATTTGAATCGGTGAAACACGAGGACGATTAGAACCAAGACCGACTGACACGACTGCCATACAATTTCAGATTGCTCTAATTGTCGCCAAAAATGAATTCTAAAGAAGTCATTTATTTATTCAAAATTAGATTTATTTAAGCATTGATATTCAAAAAATGAAAAATTTATTTAACTCCTGTACCTAGAGCCACACCGCTAATATTTCCTTAGTATCGAAGAAACTAAACTTTTTAAACTAATTGATTGATGTGTATAATTAGTAAAAACAAATTTGGGGTATGATTTTTTCCACTCTCATATACGTGTCATTGTCTATATTTTAAAGAAGCGATAAGATTACTGCCTAAAATGATAAAAAAATAAAATTCACACATAGTTGGCGCTACATTCTATGTAATAAGCGTATACTTTCCACTTGATCCGTTGCAACGGAAAACAAGTTTGCTAGAATGCAGCGCCAACTATACGTGAATTTTATTTTTTATCGTTTTAGGCAATAAATCTATGGTTTTCTTATGGCTTCTTTAAGAAAAAGCAATTTAATAAAATTTTACATTTGGCTTTTTTTTTCAAATTGAAAAATTCAAAATGAAATCATTATTTGTTATATCAAATTAAGAATAAAATAGTAATTTGAATTAATTGATTGTAATATTAATTCCTTACAATCGATCCAAATCTTTTTTTTCTCTTTCTATTCTATCTTCTATGCCAATTTATTGGATTATGAAGTACACAAATTCAATCTTTTTTTTAAAAAAATCAAATACTATGCCAACTAGAGTTCAATCGATAATTAGACAACTTCACACCGAACCACATTCAATAAACACTTGTTTCTCGCATTGTATTGATGGTGATGTTCCGTTCTGTTTGTATTTCAAAAAAAAAAATAAACAGTTAGAAATAGGGACATGCAATAAGCACTTTTTGATCGCATTGTATTGATGGCGACAAGGGGTTAATCTAGGGGCTTGCATGTAAGATTTTCTTTCCAGAATTCGACGAATAAACAATAGTATAACAAATCATGCAAATGTTTACAAATAATGCAAATTTTTACCGATTTCACTATTTTGTGCCAAAAATCTACCGATATTGGCCGATATGCGAAGTGTGTGTGTTCTGGAAGTGGGCTTTGGTGGATCCTCAGGATCATCAGAACCGCTCCCAGTTCTGGAAGTGGACCCTCAGGATGGGCCAAGGGATTGTCAAACCATGGTCTGGTCCATCCAGAGGATCCACCAAAACCCACTTCCAGAACGGAGCGGTTCTGATGATCCTGATGACCCACCAAAGTCCACTTCCAGAACAATTATTTATCAAAAAAATACCCGAATATAACCGGTATTTTACAGATATGCCGATATTCCGCCGATATTTCAACGATATGCCAATATGCAACGATAATGCAAATTTCATCCAATAAAAATACATGAAAATACGGCAAGAGGAATTCACGTAAATTCACACTTTTGAATCGTTATTGATGAGTTATCGGTTATTGATGAGTTCGGTGAATTTGTGTGAATAGAATGAAATGTGTCAAAGTAATGAAGTGAGGTTATGATAACCGCAATATTTTTTAATTTATTATTTTTTCAATATTTCCGATTGTTTTCGATAGGAAATCGCTCAAAATTGAAAATAAAATTAATTTTTATTAAAAAATATAAAAAACATTTACAATTTCGTTACACAAAATATAAATATTGCAGTAATTGCCAGCAGAAACTATTCACCACTATCTCACATATTTGAATGAAAACGCAGTAGAATTCACTGGAATTCATTCGTTTGCTGAAAAATTCAGTTAATTTAGATATTATTATAGAATTCAGTCGTTGCAATTTTGAATTAAGCCCCTAGATGGCGATCTTTGAAATTTGTTGAAAAAAATTTTTTTTTGGACGGTCGAAAAATTGATTTTCAAAAATAAATTTTAATTTAAAAAATGAGTGAAGGAATAACGTGTTCATTAGAAGAATTCTGTCGCATAGACGACATACGTCGATTCAACATTGTCGATTTGTTTATCGGAGGTGAAACGAAAACATCGAAATCAAAAAATACAAATATATTTGAACCAATCATTGATGGACCATTACTAAAAGAGCACGTCACAAATGGATCAATTGAAAATATACTGATCGAACATTTTCCAATGGGCGACAATGTATTAAAACAGATTTTCATCGAACAAGTATAAGAATTTGTTTGAGTTGTGTTATTCGGATGACAAACCGACCCAAAATACGAAAACATCATCCAAAACGCGACTATTCTATTGGTTAATAATTTTGTTTTTTCACCCGATGAGAACAGTAAATTGATGAATCGATTTATGACTCTGAAAAATGGAACTGTCGTCATAACGAAAAAGACTTTTTGCTTCGAAGAAACACAAGTGAACGAAAGAAATCTCAACAATATTTCCTCGATGATGTATGTTGAGAAAACAGTTTTGGGTGAAGTTTCTTGGACAAATACCAAAATCCCATACTACATACATCGTGTGGATCGCACAAAATCCGATGCATTTTTCAAAGAACGGAGAGTGGCGGTCGAAGAGTTTGTGGTTGCGAAAAATTTAGTTCGGAGTAATGACGATTATGAAAAGGTGTTAAAGAAGTATCCAACTTTGTCACGGTCCGAGTACGAATCTGCTCAGCGAAATATAAATCTGTAATACTTATCAAATATTCATTTTTTTGGAGAGTATGGAAAAGAAGTACAACAAAGAAGAAGACATTGATGTGTTGAGCACAGACAATATATTTAGCTGCCGTCATCTGGATATTTCAGCTCATCTGGATGCCGTCAGCAGATGATGCGAAGTGAAAACAATAGAAGTGATTGTTATAGTAATACCAGTATATAGCAAGCTTATATACCTATAACAATCAATTCTATTGTTTTCACTTTGTATCATCTGCTGACGATATCCAGATGACGGCAGCTAAATATATTGTCTGGTTGAGCAAAGGAACAGTTCCAAGGACTTTACCAATTCATTTACAGGATACAAATGGCCAAAATATTGTTTCACAATATTGCGTAGTGTGCGGAAAGGAATTCAAGTCCACAGGTGATAATACACGCCATGTTACCGACAAAATTCGTGACGAGGAACACCGAATCGCATATTTGGATGCAAGAAAGAAATTCTTTCATGTAATAGGGATGTCATTTGTCCAAGCGCTACAGCGCCGCCGCCGCCACCACCACCACATAAACCAAAAATGTGCGATATCTGTGATAAAAGTTACCAAAGTCAAGAGAGTCCAACTAATCACAAACGCGACAAACACTCAGGAGCAGGGACCGGTTCGCGCATATTTCTATGCTTGCCTAAATACGCTAGGTAGCATAGATATGCCAAGCATAGCCGCAAACGCAACCGACGCATCGCCGTTCACTCTATATGAACAATACAACGAACATGTATGCAGGCGACCGTGCATTGAGAGACGTACGCATACAATATAGCTCGAATCGAATGGCGACGGGTGCGTTGCGGCTTGCGTCTCCGCTATGCTTAGCATAGCTATCAGGCATAGAAATATGCGCGAACCGGTCCCTGCTCAGGAGTCGTCTATAAAAGCCGAGAATGCTCAAAAGCATATACCGAAAAGGTGACATGAAGAGACACATCGAAAGTGTACACAGCAAAGAACCACCAAAATTCAAATGCTCTGAATGTAATTATGCAACCAGCCACAATGGGGCCTTGAAAAGACACATAAACTCGCACATTCGAAGATCTCTTGTAAATGAACAGCAAGGCGTCACCGAAAAATTTCAATGCGACTTCTGCGAATTCAAAACAAAAACAACAAAACTACTTAAGAATCACATTAGACATAAGCATACCACCTAAATGAAATGTCAAATCGATCTAAAGTTATTATTTGAAATTAATTATTTGAATAGACAAAGCTATTATTTAAACACCATTGTCATCAACGTATGCCAAACGAATAAACAAAATTACCAACAAATACAAAACACACATACATGAACGCATATACAAATTATATTGCCAAATCAAATTAGGAATGCGGTTTGTTGTTGCAAACTTCAAAGCCCATTCCATGCTAAGCTACATATAAAACAAATAACAAAATATGCTGTTTGCTTTAAAGATTTCTCACCGGAATGTTTCAGAATATTTAAAATTTGCATTTGATTATTGATTATCGAAAAATGTTTGCCGAAAGCAATCAAATTTCGAGTCAAAGCATTTACTGCCCGAGTACACCGGCGGCGCTCTTTACAGAGCGTGTGAGCTCTTATTGACGTTCTTCTGAATATCTTTTTATTCATCTTCTTTACAATATAAGCAGCAACGAAGAAGAGCTGTATCATACACAGCAACGAACACAGTACATACGAAATATATACAAGAACTAATGCAATGGTTACAAGATTTGTAGTTAGTCAGTGACTCACTAGCACTGTGTTTGTTGCTGTGTATGATATAGCTCTTCTTCGTCGCTGCTTATATTGTAAAGAAGATGAATAAAAAGAAATTCAGAAGAGTGTCAGTAAGAGCGCACACGCTCTGTAAAGAGCGGCGCCGGTATACTCGGGTGTTGCTTTGTTTTCCTTTCGGATGATTTTAATTTGAAGTGCTTTACATTTCAATCTATATCGAAATTATATCGTGTTTCACTTAAACTTTACTTCCAATTCCAGAAGAATGAAAAAAAAAAAAAATAGCCATCGGGGCAGAAAACTAATTTCATCTATGAAAACAATGCCAACTAAAGTTTGATAAATTCAATTTTTTAATTTTCATCAATATTTTTTCATCTTTCTTTATCTAGTGAATTGTATTTGAAAAAAAAAATCCAAATTGGATTCAGAATATTAATTCAATAGTCTTCGTTTTCATAACTTCGATTTCTATTATGTTCAAATTTAAGAAAAAAAAAGAAAACCCTGGTGAATGTTGCCCTATTTCAATGCGCTCTATTTATTCAGAAGCAAAAAATGGTATATGACGAAAAAAACGTAAGTAACTTACCTCGAGTTTGAGTTTAGCAGCTCGGTAACTTCTGTCGGCGGTGTTTTGTGCTTGGCATGTGAACGTTGTATTGTGATGTTCCTTTTTCGGTGTCAGCTTTAGAATTGATTTAGCTGTAACGCGTCTTGAATCTGATAATGGTTCCTTCATATAATCAATGCCGGTTGTTAAAACGTTTCCCAAACCGTCGATCCATGTTATCTGTTTTATGTGCGCACCAACGCCACCACGTTGATCGAATTAACGAATGAAACAAGAAAAGGAGAGAAAAAAATATGCGCTCGTAAAAAAAATGTCGAAAAAAATCGAAACGGAAAATCATGTACAAATTGAACACCCAAAATCAACCGAGACAAAAAAAACCAGCCCGATATGAATATGTATTGTATGCATTTGAGAAGAGCAACAAAAAGGGAACTAAAATCAAAATAGCAAGTCAGTAGAAAATGTGTCGCAATTTTTTCTCGTTCTCGATATTTTATGGTCCATTCTTTTGCTAGAGTTGAAAAGCTCGTTTGTTTTTCACACTCTTTCGCATATTCATATACTATACATGGTTAATGTGACACGAGACAATCGATTGTATGTGGCACACGGTATAGCACAATACAGCCACATATTACAAGTGTATAAAATATGAGTCTGACAATCGTTTTCCCCCCCTTTCTCTCGTCATCGTCCTCATTACTTCAATCATTTGTCTCTACGTTTTTTGTCGCGATGTGGCGAGAGAAAAAAAAATTGTGAATAGGCAATTTTTGAAAGTATTTTTTCATCGCAGTATATTGTTCCCATCTAAAACTATACTCTATGTGATGCAGTCCCAATAATATACACAGGTTGAAGCACATTGTATTACAACTCGATATAAATTGTACGTAACATACAATACATACTGCATATCTAGCACATGGAATTGAATGAGTTTAAATTTTTGTTCTTTGCTTTTTTAGTATTTTAGTTTGACTTCCGATTTCATCGCCAACCCGTTTACTGTTAATGGAACATTTTACAATGTACATATTCAGCATTGCAATGCTTCGTGTGATGAAGTTTGCCAAGCAATATTCAATAATCGCACGCGGATTTTACGAATCGAACACTTCGTCTCCCTCTCACTCTCTCTAGGTGTGTTTTTTTTTGCGGAAAGAGAGGTGGAAACTAGATTTCGCGGGAAAAATTAATGGTAAAAGTGTCGCGTATTGCGAGTAGTTGATTCATGGTTGAATTGTTTTAATGATTTTCTGCCATTTGGAGCGAACACAGCAAATGTGCCCAATCCTTTTTTCTTTCACTCTATTGCCCATTAAAATGTCGATCACTTCATATATTTGTTGTTTTTGTGTGTGTGTGTGTGTGTGTGGGATAGTGCTTGCTATATGCATTTTAGTTTTTTTGTTGTCGTCATTGAAATTGGTGTTTTTGAAATCGATTACGAGTCCATCAAACTAAATTACCTCTGCCGCCGGCTTTCCCCCCACCGACACGCATTCCAATTCGATTTCACGATCCTCGGTTGTTACAAGAAAATCACCCTGCAAAATGCGCGGTGGTTCAGGTGGCACTAGTATGGAAAGTGCTGCAAATCTCGATCGAATGCCTGGTTGACCTATGATGAGTGTGTGTTTCAAATTAGTAAAAATCTAACTATTTACGAAATAATTCTCAATACACGTATAAAATGAGTATGTTACCTTGTGGACCAGGTCCCACTTGGCACTGATACTTTGCATCATCGTCCAACATTACCGGGTAAATATCTGTGAGTTGATAGAAAAACGTGCATATAGAAACGCAATTCGTTACCATCATTGCAAATTCATAAGAATAAAAAAAACAATGTGTGTGCAATTAAAACACTGTACCTAATGAAAAATCGCCTTCTTCATCGCTGCCAATCATTGTGTAGCGTTCAAACCCGCTTAAATTACGATGCCACCCCAGCCCAAAGTCGTCCTTTGTCCACTGAAGTGTTCCTTGTTTGTTAATAACACGGCACGGCAAGGTGACCCGAGATCCAACAATGGCTGCAAAGCAATAAAAAACAATTTATCAATGCATACAAAACAAAACCAAAAAAAAAAATAGCACCGCACAAATTTTGCCATGCATGTAGGATATTAAAGAAAAATCATACCTGTTTGGTCTTGAGGCTGCATTGCAAATTTTTGTGGTTCCATGGAAAAGCGTTGTCCATGCTTATCGTTTATACCCTCGTTTGCCAATTTCGGATGGCCATCGACAATCGATACTGACTGAATCAGCAGTAGCAGCAGCACGGGTACATACCAACAATGTACATACACGATAAATCGCCTGCTGATTCCCCAATTCATACGTGGCTGGTGTAGCATTTTCCACACAATGTATGCCATATTGCGTATGGCACGTACTTTTCGATACACAGCGAGTGGTGTGTATGCGAGCAAGAAAATGTGTGTCCTGCTTCTTCTTCTTTTTCTCCTTTTTTTTTCTTTTATTTTATCGATGTTTTATGTTTACAATGTGCGTTTCGATGTGTACCAAAAATGGTGATTTTTTCGCCGTTTGCAAATACGCTGGGCTTTTGTACATGTATTCGCTTCTCCGTTCATTCGATCACAATCAAATGATGCGAATTAGTCGCTGGAAAATGGATGAATCTCTCATTTTATACGGATTTAACTGGAAGTGAAAGGAAAAACATTCAACGAGATTAGACATACCACTGTGTGTGTTCAAATATTTCACAAAATTTAATCTCTAATTCCTTAACTGATAAACATTAATTACGTTCAACAAAAACCTTATCTAATTTCCATAGCTTGTCATTTGGCTTGTGGCTGCCAGTGAACCATTTCATTTTTGGTGCGTTTAAAGCACGTTGCTGCTTTTATGTCAAGAACCCTTTGTTTTTTAATTACGTTGTCCCGATGATTTTAGTACGAATCTACTCGTTCGCTCAATACATTTGTGTATGCATTATATTTTATATTGTAGCAAATGAAATGGAAGCAAAATCATAATAATTTCATAAATTCGAGCCATTCAATTTATTTTATTTTTTACTGGAAATTTTATGCCAGAAAATATATAAAATAGGATTGTGGTGTGACGTATTCGAGCATCTTATATTTCAATGTATAAAAAAATTGAAATCACAGTGTCATTCGAGCCAAATTCATGTGGTTTTATATGGGTGCCAACGTTGAATCGATGAGGTGACTTAAGTGTAGCAAGTAGCAGATTCCAACTTTTCGCAATCTCTAAGAGTATTTTTAATGTTACAAGATATTCTTTACTTTGATGCCGAAATGGTTATCAATCTAGTTGCGGTACCTTTTTCTTCTGCTCTGCCTTCACCTCATTTCTTTCAATCGTTCGCTCACTTCATCATACACACACACACACACACACACTCACATTCAAATTTACAATTCGGACGGATACAAAAGTGAAGTGTATTTGTTGAGGTTAAACGGAACGTGATACTGTAATATAAACTGGCGAACATATACAATTCATTGAGATCACAACGTTCTATACATATACATAGCAGCCGTTTCGGGATCACTTTCATAATCGGTTTTGTTCGGTGGCAGCATTCCGTATATTTTGCAAGTTAATTTATATTTGTTTGGAATCGGTTCGATTGGATACCTGCTTTCAATTCAGTCACACAATCAACCGAATAGAAGAAATAATAGTTGTAGAGCCAACAAAACAAAGCAAAAAAAAACATGAAAATATCATGTATCAAAAGTATATGCAGCACGAAAATCTCGAGGCATGATAAGAAAAAGGTGCCTATGGAATACACAGAACATAAATAGATATTTGTCAAGACGGGATCGAATGTAGTATATCCTTTCATGTTTTCCATTTGCTACGGTCTTTCAAATTCCCGAATAATACTTTTGAAAATTGAGCGCATTCGGTCGATTTTATTCTATGAAAGTATATCGAAGGCAAATACAAATAAAACTCACATTGGAAATTGATCATCAGAAAACGAATTCAAAACAAACGGCAGAAATAATAAAACAATTGGAATCTCGGTTTCAGGTGTGTGTTCCATTCTAGGTTCCATTATATGCAATATTTATTGGATATTTTTATGAGTGGGTCGCCCTTTTTCCATAGCTTTGTTGTCAAAATCAACGGAAAAACCACGGACCGGAAATGTGAAAATAAAATCATCGTTTTTACGACGAGAACATCTTCTTCTTATTATTCTCTGGAGCATATAATCTGTTTTGTTCTTTTTACATTCTTTGTCCTTGTTCTCTCCATCTCTCGCAAAATATGAGACTAATAAAATGATGATAAAAATGTCTTATTTCAAGATGTAAATCACACTGTCATACATTCGCATCTATATTTTACGGCCCTCGAAAGACAACAGAATAAAAAAATAAAAAAAAGAAGAAGAAGACAAGAACAACTTTTATCTTTTAATTATTCAAAGAGAAAAGTCGAAATATGAACGCGACTCAGAGCGCGTACGCTGTCACAAAGGTTGCATTGCATTAAATTTTACTCTTAATATTGTGTTATTGTTGTTAGAGTTGTTGCACGAGCCAAAAGGTAAGCACAAAATGAATCTTTGAATTTTCTTGTTGCTCATTTAACGCAACTTCTTCGCAATGCTTGACTGTGTTTCTGTGTGAAAATGTGTTGTGCGCATTTATCGTCATCGAAATATATATATATATATACGTATCGACCAACAAATATTGTACATCATAAATTTTTCTTTTAGCGATTTGCTAGCAATCTCTTTTGCCTCGCTTTGCTCGCGTTGTCTTTCTTTCATGACTGTATTTTTTGTGTCACACAAAATGCAAACATTTACTTGATTAAATCATACAATGGCAAAAAAATTTCCGAGGTACCCAAGTATCTTGATTATTTTTGAAATGCTTGTAATGCATGCTCACTGGTAACATATTTTAAATAATTTTATCAGGTGAAAAACTTTGTAAATTCATGCCACATAATGCCACAGGCATCGAAGCTATGCAAAATTGCGAAACGAAGCAACAGAGAAACCGAGAATAAAACAACCACAGCAGAGAGATACAAAATGTTGAAATGGTGCTATATTCCATGTATGTGTCGTCGTGTCAAAATTGGATTCGGTGAATGTGTGTATGGGTTTCACACCAGAACGAAACATGCTCTTGCTCATAATGTTTGTACAAACTTTTCCATTGATTTTACAGAATTGTTTAAATTTTCGCTTCAGATGATTTACAATTAGTTGACACAGTTATATTTGAATGTCGCATACTCGGGTAACTCTGCCGCTTGTTGGCGCCCGTGTATGTGGGTGTGTGTGTGTGTGTGTGCGTGTGTCATACAGTGAAATAAATGAAGACAGATTTCGATGTTGTGGTTTTTTATGTGCGATTCTAAGAGCATATTTGATTAATATTTTTCGACAACCAAAATGAAATTAACTCGAATTTGGTTCATCATCTTGTTCGGTGACGCCATCTTAGTTGTCGATGTTTTTGTACACTGTCATACAAGGGTGCTTATATTGATTCATATACGTGAAGATGATATTAATTTGATTTTCGTAAACCAGAAATCCTTTCCCAATGCTCAACAAAGTGATATGCTTTCGACTTGTAAACAAAATTAATGGGGTGAATATGTTGAAACTTGAAAGTCACATTGTTTGATGTGAAAGGTGCTTTCCACCTGCCTGTTTGACATTACCAATTTATCTCTTTGAGTGAATTGTATGGCTATTTTCGGTGACATCCATTCCATGCATATAATTCATGTTAGTTTTGTTTCCTTTGCAAATTTATTCGGTGTCAAAGCATTTTCTGACTTTAAAGAAAACTCGAAACTTTATACAGCATTGGTGTATATGTAACTCTTGTTCTTTTTTTTGTTACTGCACCTATAGCGTTTTCGAAAAACAACCAAACTATACCATTTCATGTGTACTTTAATGAATCCGGTTTTTATGTCACCTTAAAAACTACTGTTGACAAGAAAGAAAATCACAACAACAACAAAAACTTTCTTTTGCTCAAAGAAACGAAAGAGAATGATAAACCTCTTTAATGAAATATGCGCTACAATTTGTAGCCTACAAATACACAATTATATCCATAGCGTGATTTCATTTCCGGTCTGAACTTTCAAGTGCTTAAAGAGTGAAAAGTGTTTTTTTTAGGATTCGATGTCATTGATGTCGTTTGAATTTGTTGTATATCTGCCGTATAAATACAGTGTGACATTCTATATTTATAGACACACAAAAAAGTTCGTCTAAGTAGATTAAGATTATTTCAATAGATGGCGCTATGTTCCGACGAACACTGTGTTGTAAGTCATTTGTAAATTTACACTGAATTTTCGTAGTAAATTTACAAAATGTGTCAAAATAAAAGTCACAATATCATTTTGTAAAAATACTACGAAAAGTCAGGGTAAATTTACAAATGATGAATATATCAGTTTAAATACAACTTTTTCACAATTTTTTGGTAGCATAATTCCAAATCATAATAATAACAATAAAATAACAGAAAAAAACATAAAAAAAAAACAAATAATGTTATTTTTCGACTTCATGTATAGCGACTTTCACTATCGAAATTTACAATATCTCATATTTCGATAGATGGCGCAATACGTATGTTTATAAACTTTTTTGTGATGTCAAACTTGATGACTTCATTTAATAAATAATTATATTTTTACATTAATAATTGCAAAATTTACGATGAAAAAATGGTTTAAAAATAAATAAATTGTTTTTAGAAAATTTAGGGGCAATAATTTTATTTTGATTTATTAAATTTATATTGCAATGAAAAACTATCAATTTTCTGTGAACGTTGGTTTTTTTTGGACGGTTTGTAAATTGAACGCTTATCTGACACATGATATTAACAGTTGACATTTGTTTGTTTACACACAAACAAGTTGAAAAACTATGTGTACTGCGTTCTATCATTAAAGGTTGTAGGAAAAATTGGTCCAATGGAACAACTAACTGTGGGTGAATTAAAAAAAAGATCCCGCGAAATCAGACAAAATGAATTTTCTATGCTATTGTTATACGGAGATTCATAGTAGATTTACAAAAACTTCCAATTTTCATAATTTGTAAAATTACTATGAAATTTTGTAGTAAATTTACAAATGATGTAAATTGGACGATTTTGTAAATTCACTATGAAATTTTGAGGTAATTTTACAAATATATTCAATATAGGTTTTTGTAAATTTACTATGAAATTTTATAGTAATATTACAAATTTTGTAAAATTAGTATAGTATTTCATAGTAAATTTACAAAAACGTCATATTTTCATATTTTGTAGAATTACTATAAAATGTCATAGTACATTTACAAATTTTGTAAAATTACTATGAATATTCATAGTAAATTTACAAAACCATCCAATTTTCATCATTTGTAAATTTACTACAAAATTTCATAGTAAATTTACAAATTATGAAGATAGGACGTTTTTGTAAATTTACTATGAAATTTTGTAGTGAATTTACAAAACCATCCAATTTTCATCATTTGTAAATCTACTACAAAATTTCATTGTAATTTTACAAAATTTGTAAATATACTATGAAGTTTTATAGTAATTCTACAAATTATGAAAAGAGACGTTTTTGCAAATTTACTATGAAATACTATA